TACGGACCAGTCCAGCCCTCACACAGCTTCTACTGCCCATACTCAAGTCATTTGCAAAATAAAAGCCATATGAAGAATCCCATTTTTTAGCTCTTAACCCCAATGCCTTCATTTTGGAGATGTCTGCACAGCCTGTCCCACTTCTCCCCACAGCAGGACCTAGGGAGCTAGAACTATTTGCTTCCTAAAACACACACAGAAAAACAACCTTAAACTTGAAAAGATCTATGTCACCGCAGGAGCTTTCATAAGGCTCCCTGCAAAAACTTGGTGGGGTTTTCCTGTTAATAAAAGGTAGCAATGAAAACATGAGCTAAGCACCAGTTTCATAAGCAACCAGCTTCAGAAACGCTTTTTTATATATCATAAACTGGCAGAAAATATGCACAGCCACATTAAGAGACTATGGCACTTCCATATGTGGCTCCTCTCCTCTGGCACAGCAGAAAGCTTACCTCCAAGGTTGCTCCCACATGACTTTCCAATGGCTTCCAGATAACAGGATCCTGTGGAGTTGTTTTATTGGGGTTTTTATTTTTGTATTTCCTTTTTTCGGTTCCAGATTTTTGGGGGCATACAAAACAGGGAGATATGATCTTTCACAAAATCATAGAATGGCTTGGTTTGGAAAGGACCTTAATATCACCCAGTTCCAACCCCCTGTCATAGACAGGGACACCTTCCACTAGACCAGGTTGCTCCAAGCCCTGTCCAGCCTGGCCTCAAACACTGCCAGGGATGGGGCAGCCACAGTTTCTTTGGGCAACCTGTGCCAGGGACTCACCACCCTCACAGGGAAGAACTTCTTCCCCAGATCTCATCTAAATCTCCCCTCTGTCAGTTTTAGCCATTACCCCTTGTCCTATCACTACAGCCCTAATGAAGAATCCCTCTCTGGCATCCTTCTAGTCACCCTTGAGATACTGGAAGGCTGCTCAGAGGTCTCCCAGGACCCTTCTCTTCTCCAGGCTGAACAGCCCCAACTTTCTCAGCCTGCCTTCATACGGGAGGTGCTCCAGCCCATTTATCTTTGTGGCCTCTTCTGGACTCATTCCAACAGTTCCATGTCATTCATATATCAGGGACACCAGAGTTGGACACAGTACTGGAAGTGGGGTCTCATAAGAGCAGAATAGAAGGGCAGGATGACCTCCTTCGACCTGCTGGTCATGATTCTTTTGAAGAAACTCAAAAGAAACTGTACTCACAGAAACTGTAAAAATGCCCAAAGGAAAAAGAAAAACAATATCCTGGCTGAGCCTGCATGGATCAGGCTTATCCCAAAGAAATAAAAACATTCAGATAATAGCCTGACACCCTGGTTGCTCAGAAGCATCATGTGAATGAAGCCTTAGGGGTCAGACATTTCAGTTCCATACTGGCAACTCCAAGACAAGCAGCCCTTTAGCTCTTCGGCCACTGCAGCAGCCCTCAGGGCTTGTAAGCTTAGTAAGCAACTACTGCAAGATATATGGGGGAGGAAAAAAGAAGAGAGGAAAGCTTGCAAACCAAGATAACAGTTACACAATCCAAAACTGTATTTGTTTTGCCGGAACAGGAAGTAATATTCAATATGCCAACAAGTCAGTCTGCAATGTAATGTCTTGCTACTGAAAGGCAATGTTATTTAAATTTAGGAAGGAAACAGCCTCTCTGATACTGTACCTGATCCCTGACATTGCAAACTGTGCTGATGCCAAGGCTGTACACTGAGGTTGAGAGCTTACAGACTGTTCTAAGAATCTTTGTACAAGCAAGCAGTGACTGAAGTTTCTCAAATGTAAATTACACCCAGAAGTCAAACACTTTTTATTGAGTAAAAGCCCATTTGCTGTCAATCAATAAAAGGTGGCACGACAGGTCAGGTAAGCAAAGCAGAAAGCACAAGATCATCCTCTGCGTTTTTATGTGTCTGGGTATTAATTACCCCACGTTTCCTCACTGATTTGCGAAAAGATAAGCATCACCTTCCCAGGAAAACCGAGCACACAGCACAACTTGTAGAGAAGTCCTGAGCTAAAGGAGGCTCCTTGCTGCCTCTCCAGTACCTCCTCATCAAACAGAAACATAACTGGAAGTGCAGCAACTTCCCTCCTGCAAACCCCAGCAGCAGCTTTTCACAGCAGCAGGAGAGGATCCTCTCTTCTTCTCAACCATCATGCCCTCTGGCAGGGTTTGGGCTGCCACAGAAGACTTGGGAAAGACCTGACTGGCTAGCTGCTGAGAGCAGCTGCAGGTGAAATCGCTCAGAAGGAAATCCAGCAACAGCTGGCAGACAGGTTGTAAAATGACATCTGAGCAATGAGACAACAGTATGTGTGCTGGGCAGAATCACCAGCAGGTCGAGTGAGGGGATTCTCCCTCTCTGCTCTGCTCTGGTGAGAGCCCACGTGCAGTCCTGCAACCAGCTCCGAGGCCTCCAACATGAGAAGGAAGTGGAGCTGTTGGAGTGAGCCCAGAGGAGGCCATGATGATGCTCTGAGGGCTGGAGCACCTCTGCTATGGAGACAGGCTGAGAGAGCTGGGCTTGTTCAGCCTGGAGGAGGCTCCTGTGGAAAGGTCTCAGGTGAGACCAATAGAACTGGAAAAAGCAGACAAGCTTTTGACTGTTGAAGACAGGCTTGTGTAACCAAAGTGAGAACATGGGGGGGGGGAACACGAAATAAATGCCAGTGCTGTAGACTCACAAGTGCCCACATCCTGATCCGCTCTCAGCAAAAGGGCATCCCAGCACTCAGAGAGGCACCAGGAAAAGTCACCAAGATGATTCAGAGAGATTTGTGTACAAAGACAGACTTCACAGACCACAGCCTGGATCTGAAAGGGAGACCAAGCATGCTATAAACTCATAAACAAGAACATGGAGTGATTATTTTATTTCTCACAAGGGCTGTGTGAGAGAGCACCCAAGGCAACTTTCATTTAACGGGTTTTAAACCAAAGGAAGTAGTTTTGTCATTAAATGGTGGAACTCTGTCTCAGGAAGCTGCAAAAGCCAAGAGTAAAAACGGATTTAGAGAGGCTTCAAAAAACTTACCAGGACAGGTCTACCGGGAGCTTTACCCTCAAAGGCGCAGCTCACTGGTACTGTGTGTGAGATGCTATTTGTGTTAAACAACAGCCGCATTAGCTTTCACAGGGACCATGTCAGAAAATCTCACCCCAAATTAAGAAAAAAAACCCTGCAGCAATAACGCAGATGAGAACTGCACTCCATGCATGACTCCCTCCACAACATCTCACTCCTTCTCAATTTGCTAGATGGGACAGAAAATAAAGGGAAGAGCTTTTCTTTTAGAAGAAGCTTTTCTTTTCCATGTTTTTTTCTTCCCAGTAAGAGTCATCACGGGGCTGTATCCCACTCTCCCGCTTCATAAAGCTCAGCTCCCTGATTATAACGTACATCTCAAGACAAGAACCACAGCAGAACACACTTGGCCTGCTCACCAAACCACGGCTCCCTTTAGTGGCCCCAGGAGAAAGTCCCTCAGTGGAGGGAATGAACACCTTCCCACACTAGTAGACCATACTAAACTCGATCAACAAATTCCAGATATCGTGGTGGAAGAGGAGTAGAGCTAGCGCCGCCCTACTAGCCCAAGAGGAGAACCAAGCGATGCCAGGATGTGCAGAGACACACTGGAGCATGGCCACCTTCCTCAGCAGACACTGCCAAGATATTAATGTCCAAGTTTGTCAAGTTTACTCCATCCCCAATTGAAAAAAATAAAATAAAAATTCCATTTTAATGTTCTGAGCTCAGCATCTGCAGAGGCAACAAGGACACCAGGGAAAACAACCACAGTATTTTGGGTGAGAATCCAAGCAATTGCAAAACTTTTCAGATAAATTTAATAAGCAATCCCAGATATTTTGCCGTCAGCAGCACCTTCCGCAACACAAGGTTTACAATAACCACAGTGAATTCCCCCAGGGCTGAGCAAGGAGCCTGCCGCACCATTCACAGCACACACATTCAAGAAGAAAATCACCATTTACGGACCCTGGCTTTGGCAACACAGCCAGTTCCTCAGTATCCTCAGGCCTGCACTACAGGCAATGAGGTCTCAGCATCTCATGGATGAGAAACTGAAGGCCCAGAAAGCACCAGAGAAATGTAACATGTTACTAGTTAACCCTGGGGTGAAGCTCTTTTCACCCTCACTACCAAACCGAGGTTGTGGCCTGGATGCCAGATGTGATGCAAACATAGCGAACTGGGGAGATAGCGTGGAAAAATCAAGTGGCTTAACCACACAATGGGAGAAGGGGTTAGCAAAGGCCAGGGATGGCAAAGGCATAACTCAGGCAAAGCCAGAGGAAGCCCGAGGACAGGCCATACAGGCCCTGGGGTCATACAGAGCCCACACAAACCCCCAGACAAGACAAAGGAGGCTCAGGATCATCACATAAATCCCAAGCCTCCTCCTCCAGCACACACACCCTGCTTTTTCTGGCACTCCTCTCACCCCACATCCCCTTCCCCACAGCAGGGGACCCCCTCTACCTCACTACTCTCCCCTCCTCCTCTCTCCGCCCCACAGCCTGCTCCCCATTGCTTCCTCACACATCCCACCAGACACCAGCCATCCTTCCCCCTTGGCCCCATAAACCCGCAGTGCTCCATAACCTGAACCCCTCGTTATGCCCAGCCTGGGGGCTCCAGACCCCTCAGCACTCCTGAACCACCCACCTACCCTCAGATGCTCCTGTCCCTGCCCAATCTTCCTCACTCCTCTAAACTTAGTCTCCACACCCTCCGCCCCCCACATCACAAACAACTACAGACCCACTGGAGATCCTCTGAACCCCACATCCCTTCTCCCCCTCCCTCAAACCACCAAGCGCACCTCAGACCACACACACACACACACACACACACACACACACACACACACACACACACACACACACACACACACACACACAGGCCCACTTCAGACCTTCACACCCCTCCACCTCCCACCCCACAAACCACTCACCGCCACCCCCTCACCGACCTGCAGCGTGCGCTGCCTCAGAGCCCGCAGCCTCTCCTGCCGCCGCCGCGCTTCCTCCTCCAGCCTCCCGAAGACCAGGTCCGCCGCATCCTCCTCCGCCTCCACACCACCGCCGGGCGCCGCCATCTTTCCCCTTCACCTTATGCTCCGTACAACCAGCAGCGCGCATGCGCCCATCGAGCGCCGAGCGCATCCAACCTACCGAGCGCAGAGCGCGTCGATCGCCGAGCCTCGGCTGTGGGGCGCAACGGGGGGAGTGTCACATAAAAGCATTAAAAATAAATGGGATTTAACAAATAAAAGGCAAAATAGTCCCAAATCATCCTCTTGTGACATTGCTACGCTTATTCCCCCTCTCTCCTAGGGCGCGCAAGGCTCAATTGGGTTGATTGGAGGGCATGATTATTGGAAGGGGGTATTTTACATTTCCCGTCCCCCCTTTTACCTTCGGGAGGGAGAAGGTAAAAGGAGGGGTGGGAAAGGGTAACCCTCCCAGCATCAGGTACCTGAGGGGGGCCTTGTCACCGCCCCCCCGTACCTGGGGGAGGGCCCGTCGATGGTGGGGGGGGCGGAGCTGCCCGTGCCGTGCCGTACCGAGCCGTGCCGGCCCGGCATGGCTTCCCGGGAGCGGCTCTACGAGCTTTGGATGCTCTACTTCGCAAAGGTGAGGTCGGCACCGGAGGACCCCAGGCACACCCCAGTTCTTCTCCCCACCTCGGAGGGGGGGGTGGGGGGGCAGCACCTCTTTTAACCCCCATCACCCCGCTGCCTGCATTCCCCTTCCATAGGGGAAAGGGGAAAGCTAAACCCCGTCTACACCCCCCCTGCCGGCACCTCCTCCCTGTATCACCCCTGACTTGGGGGGGCACCACGTTCCCTCCGTACCCCCCACTGCGGCATCCCGTGATCCCCCCACCCCATTCTCCCCATTTGGGGGTCACTGTAACCTCCATCCTGCACCCGACTGCCGCATCCTTAGGGCCGCGACCGCGTGTCCGTCCCCCCCCCGTCCCCCCCCCCCCCCCGGATCCCCGTTGCCATATCCCGGAGTGACACCCTCCCGTGGCACACCCCGTACCCCGAGTTCCGAGATCCGGGACTCCGCCACCGCATCCCATCAATCACGGGGGGATTTGGGGGGTCCACACATCCCCTTACACCCGGCCGGGTGGGTTTGGGGGGGTCCTTTCCCCTTCCGGGTCCCCGCACCCTTGCCCAGCAGCAGGTGCGGCCGCGGTGACATTGGAGCAGCAGCAGGGGGGAAAGGGGGGTTCCCTGTACAGGGGGGAGCCCCTCGGCACCACCGCCTGCTCTGTCCTGTCCTCCCCATCCTATTTCTCTCTGCTGGGGCAGGTCCCACAGGCAGGGGTCCTGGAGAATGGGGGGTTCTGACCGGCAGCGTGGGGGACCCTCTGTATCCACCTCCAAAGCCCCTTATGCTTTGTTTTCTCCTTAAGTATCCGTGCGTCCAGGTTTGGGGAAGGGTACTTGGGGGGGAACCTGGAGGAAAGGATCACACAGCCCCCTGCGTCTCCCCCAGCTCCTATGCCATGGGCTGGGGTGTCCATCTCAGGGAGATTGGGGTGAAGGGTATTATTTCTTCCCCAGAACCCTGCCGTGTTCCCAGCACATGGCAGGGGGCTTCCAAGAGGGATGGGGACCCTGGTCCCACCTGGGGACAGGGACAGTGGTTGTGTCCATCTCCTCCCCTGGCACTACCATGTCCCCCCAGGACCCCTGGGGGGCTTGTACAAGGGGCACGTGCCACTTTGGAGTGTTCACACTCGCCAAGGGACAGGCACCAACCACACTCTCAGGTGCATGTGATGGTGCAGGGACAGACATGTGCCATGCCACACTGTCAGGGTGTGTGTACGTGGTTACATGTGGGCAGATGCCATGCCATTGGCATGTTCATGCTCACCCAGGTTCAGTTGTTGTGCTGTTTGGGTGTGAGGGGTTGTGTAGGGGTGGGTGGTATGTCCTTGTCTGACCATGGTCATACAGGGACATGGATGTACATGGGGGATATGTGCTATGCCTTCAGGGGTGTGTGGTGGTATGGGGGTATGGGACATGCTTTTGGGGTGTTCACACTTGCCCAGGGACAGATGCTGCACTGTTGGTGTGTGCATGGTTGTATAGGGACGTGCCTTCAGATGTGCATGCTTGTACAGGGATGAGTGACATATCCTTCGGTGCCTGTGATCATACAGGGACACATGCCACACTGTTGGGTGTTCGCACTTGCACAGGGATGGGTGCTGCACTGTTGGGGGCTGTGTGGTCATACAGGGACTCGTGCCATGCCATCAGGTGTGCATGGTCATATGGGGATGCTTGCCATGCCATCGCAATCTGCATGGTTGTACAGGGGACACATCATGCTGTCAGAGTGTGTGTGATTATACAGGGGCACGTGCCATGCTGTTTGGGTGTGCATGGTCGCATGAGGAGACATGCCACACCATCAGAGTGTGCATGGTTGTACAGGGGACACATGGCACACTGCTGGGTGTGCATGGTCCTGTGGGGACATGTGTCATGCTGTCAGGGTGTGCATGAACATACGTGGCATGCTCTTGGGCGCACATGGTCATACAGGGACATGTGCCACACCATTGGGGTGTGCATGGCCTTATGGGGACACCCTTGCATAGCAAGCATGCCGCATTGTCAGGGTGTGCACAGTCAGAGCCACACAAGAGGAACCAAGGCTGAGATGAGACCTCGGTGTCACCTCCCCAGCCAGGTCCTGTGCAAAGCTGCCCTGGCCTTCCCCATGGTGATGTCCCCAAGCACCAGGTGAGGACAAGGCTGCTGGGCCGTGTCCCTGTCCCACATCAACCTCTCCCTGTCTCACTGCTGGGTTTATTTTGAGGTTTGAATACAGCTGGTGATGACACTGGTCTGAGTGTCACCTCAAGGGCAGCGTTCCCCATCATCGCAGCCCTCCCCAGCTGGTGGGATCAGAGAAGGGCTGTACACTGGGAGTGCGGCTGTTATCTCTCATGGCTTTAAAATAGGGCAGAGCTCATGTCACTGCTCCACCGCTGCTGGCAGGGGACAGGGGTATCCCCAGGGATGTCGTGTGAGGTGGCCGTGCCACAGCAAGGATGGTGCTGGCTGTGTTGTCCTACACCATCCAAAGGGGATGGCAGGAACCCCAGGGGGTCCCACCACCAGGACACCCGATGCCCCCCCATGGGACTTGATGGCAGGGAGATGACAACCTGTTGGCTTTGCCACTGTCACTACTGGGCAGGAGTCCGGAGCTGCCGGCAGCAGTGCTGGCAAGGGATGGAGGTGCCGGCATGACATTCCCAGGCAGCACCGCGCCAGCCGAGCCTAGAAGCCACCCAACAGGCTCTGCCAGCCGGCAACCGGCTGGGACAGGCACTGGCAGCGGAGGCAGCCACTGGCAGGGTCCTGGTGAGCACTGCGCCGAGATGGGATAGGATGCTGGCTCCAGATGGGTGAAAGGGGGGGATACTGGGGAGGAGGGATGCTGAGAACTGGCAAAGTCAGGACAGCCCAGCTTTGGTTGCACTGATGGGAGTGGGGGGGACACAGGCAGGATTTGGCTTGTGGTTTTTGCACGATCTGGTTATCCATGGTGTTTGCGACCCACCGGGATGGAGCTTCGTGCCCATGCCATATGCCAGCTCCAGCAGTGGTACCCATCATCCCGTGTGCACTATGGTCACTACCATGTCCTTGGCTGCATCCCTGGCATATCCCAGTGCTGCTGTTGGGTGCATGGGGTTGGGGGCAACTGTTGGTACCCCAAACAAGTGCCAGGCAGCCAGCCGCGGTGGGAGGAAGCGCCGTTGGGGCGGCGGGTGACTTGGCATTTCCTGATCCTGTGGGGTTTGTTGTGTTTTTGGGTGCTTTGCACAAGAGCAAAGCGAGGCGGTGGTGAGAAAGGGAGGGGGGAACGTGTAGAATAGCTGCATCCCCCGTCCTGGTGCGGCTGCACCGACGCAGCTCACCCAGGATCATGGATGGCCATGGTGGCCAGGTAACAGGGTCTGGTTGGGGGGTAGGTGGGGGGACACCCCACACCCGGCTCACCCCACTAGGTGCTTGCAGCTGAGCGGTACCCAGTGGTAAATGGGGGAGTCTGGGAGGAAATGGGTGACATAGGGTTGAACGAATGAGACAGTGGGGGAGCTGGGTTGTGGGGGGATGCTGCTGAGGGGATCATGAGGTCTCCTTGGGGACCCCCACGTTGCGGAGGTGCCGACAGTACCTGAAGGAGTGATGGGGCTCCCCATGTCATGGGGGAGTTGGGGATGGGGAGGCAAGTCTCTGTGGGGACCAGGATGTCCCCAGGCAGGGACAGTCCCTGCCTGGGCTGAGGACAGCTGAGGGTGCTGCATGGGGGTGCATGGGGACGTGGGTCACCCCAAGGTGCTCCATGGGGGTGCTTGGGGACATGGATGACCCCAAGGGGCTGCACTGGGCTGCATGGGTCACCCCAAAGTTCTTTACTGAGGTGCTCAGGGACATGGGTGGCCCCAAGGGGCTGTGTTGGGGTTCTCTGGAACCTGGGTCACCACGAGAGGCTATACTGCGGTGCTCTGGGCAATGGGTGACTCTAAGGTGCTGTGTTGGCGCACATGGGTGACCCCAAGGGTCTACAATGCAGTGCTGAGGGCTTTGGGTGACCCCCAAGGGGCTGCATTGGGGTGCTCAGAGCTATGGTTGATCCCAGGGTGCTGCACTGGGGTGCTCAGGGCCATGGGTGACCCCCGTGGGCACTGTGTGGGAGGTGCCCGGCCCCGGGGTGCGGTGACAGCCGGGGTGAATCAGGCCATTGCACAACCACCGGGCTGGCTGTTGTTGTGTCAGGCAGTGCTGGCTGCCTGTGCCTGGCTCTGCCACCTGATTGGCTGGCAGCTGTCTGTAGGGGCAGGTGTTCTGAGTGCTGATTGGTCGGCAGGTCCCAGGGATGAGGTGTTCTGTGCAGGTCATTGGCTAGCAGTGGTCTTTAAAGGCCAGCGGTTCATACTGCTGATTGGCCAGTTGTTGTCTATGGGGCAGGTGGTCTTTGTATTGATTGATCAGGAGCTTAACAGGTTGTGCCGATTGGTCAGCAAGTCCACAGGTTGTACTGCTTTGAGTGCTGATTGGTCAGCAGCTCTACAGGTTGTACTTTTCTGATTGCCCATTGGCTGAAATGACCAAGTTGGGGCTTGACCACTCTAGCTGCTGATTGGCTGATACCTCCGGTGGCGGTGGTCACTGTGGGATCTGATTGGCCAGTGGCTCCCCACCCTTGCAGAAGGACCTCTCATACCTGCAGCAGTGGCTGGAAGTGTTTGTCATGAACTTCGAGAAGATCATTGCCCTGCCGTCGCTGGAGCCGCGGAGGTGAGACCACCCCAGCACCCTTGGGTGACACCCTGCGATGGGGGGGAGGAGGTGACATCCACAGCTAAATTGGGGGTTGCCGTGGCGGCAGCTCGTCCGCTCCCAGTGGTTTTCAGCCATCCGGTCTGAGGCTTCTGGAGGGGTTGATGGTGGAGGGGGCTGTGGGGTCACATCCTGCCACCCTGGGTTGTCCCTGTCACAGGCCAGAGGAGTCGGTGTCAGAGATCCCAGTGCTGCCGCGGGAGGTGCTGCAGGTGCTGAGCCAGCGGCTGGGGCAGTGCGTGGCCCAGGTCCCACGGGAGGAGGGTGCCGGGGCCAGCCTGGGGCAGGCGCTGCTCCTCCTCAAGTTCTTCATCATCATCTGCAGGTGGGTGACACCCCTCCATCGACACCCCTGGTGGGGAACCGGCTTGCCTCTGTCCCCACCGCACACACAGATATTCCTGGTTTCAGTCCTCCAGCACTGTAGGATGAGCCCCAGGTGCTGGGGGGACATGGAGGGGAGCCCCGTATCTCTGGGGTCTGGGCTGCCCCAAGTCTTTCCTGAAGGGATCGATCTGGTGTCACTCTGGTCCTAGACTGCCATGGACCACTACAGTGCCTTCCTGGATATGCATCAGCATCCTTGCAAAACACACCACCCCCCCACTGAAGTGTAGCATCCTGCTCCAAACTGCATACTCCCCCCAGAATGTAGCATCCCCCCCAAAAAGAGCATCATTCCCACCCACATAAAGAGCATCATCCACACCTAAGTGTATCACTCCCCATCTGAAGTACCTCCCATCACCCCAAAACATAGTATTTATCCCCCTCCCAAAGTGCATCCCGCTCTCCTTGGCTCTGCCGCCTCTGTCCAGCTGACATAAGGTGACCCCAATGCGTGAACCTCTTAATGTGTTAAATCCCACCTCCTACCCCCCGACCTTTTGCAGGAACCTGGAAAACATCCAAGCGGACAAAACTCCTGGTTTCATCCCAGAGGTGCTGAAGCTGCTGCGGGTCTGTGCAATCAAGGTGACACAGGGAGACAGGAGAACGACACAGGGAGAACCCCTGCCCTAGTTCTGGGGGGGACTCAGACAGAGGAGGGGTTTCTGGGGGGAAGGTTTAATTCTGCTCTGTTTTTCTGGCAGCTGAAGACTATCCAGGAGGATGAGCAGAGCAGGATGCAGCTGGAGAACGGGATGCTCTATGCCCTGCATCTCTGCGAGTGCTTCTTCGACCCCTACCAGACTTGGAGGCGGCAGCTGAGAGGGTGAGTGGGGATGCCCCCCCTCCACCCCAAAATCCCCCTCATTTTTCCCCCACACCTCACACCTCTCTTTCCAGGGAAATCATCAGTGCGAAGGAGAAGAGTAAATACAAGTTTGCCCCGGCCCCTTTGCCCCCTGAGTTTGGCACCTTCTTCCAAGGTAAAAGGGGGTCCTACCCCCACTATCACCCACTGCAGCTGGGCTTGCATGCTCCAGCAATGGGATCTGGAGGCACATAGAGGGTCAGTGTTGGGATCCATGGGTGTACAGAGCATCCAGGGGCATACCGTGCATGGAATGGGATCCAGGAGCACATATAGGGTCCATGGGGGCATATAATATTCAGAGGTAGGTATGTGATTCAAGGGCAAATAGAGGATTCTATACCTGACCCTGATTATTCTATACCTGTCCGTGCAAATATGGGAGCTTATACTTGCCCCAGGACGTCCTCTACCTGTCCCTGCAAACGTAGGATCCAACATCTTATACATGCCCCTGGATCAGTATTGATTCAAGGACAAATATAGAATCCTATACCTGCTCTGGGACCCTGTATGTGCTTGTAGGGAAGGTCAAGTATAGGATCCTATATTTGCCCCAGGATCAGGATGTGATTCAGGAGCCTATATCTGACCCCAGGACCATTATATGATTGGGTTAGACCTGGGTGATCTTAAGGTCTTTTCCAACCTTAACCATTCTATGATTCCACCATTGAAGGGCAAATATAGGAGCCTATACCTGCACCCCAGAATCCCAGGAGGCATATATAGGATCCTGAAGCAGGGGTTAAGTCCTCAACAACCTGGGGAGACTGCAAAAATTAATGCAAAAGGGACTTTTTCCTGGGGAAGCCCCCCCTAAAAAAAACCGCCTGGGGCAAAGGCATTGCAGAAAAACACCTAAAACTCCCAAGACACCCAACTGCCTGGAAATCCCCAAACTGAACCCTGTTTTTGAACAAAACCCCTCATATTTATTAGGACAAAATAACCTTCCCTGGTGCGACCAGAGCTGCAGAACACTTGAGCATCCTCATCAACAGCGTCCAGCACTCACATGGGCTGACTTTTGGGGTGGATTTGGATAGAAAAGGGATTTTTTTCCCTATTTTGGGGGATTTTTGGCTGCTTACTCTCTGAAGTAAATATTTCCCTTCTCATCCTCGCAGAGAGTTTCCAAGTTGGAGAGCAGCTCCCTGAAACACTCCAGCTCCGGCTTATCCATCTTTTGGGGGCCATCCTCTCCGGATCCAAGGTAGCACTGGGAAGCAGATGGGGAGGACTTGGGATAATCATCCAAGTGATAAGCCCCAAAGTTTTATTTATTCTAAGCAAGATAAACACTGGGATTAAACCGCTTCATTTTCAAAAGCCTTTAAAAACCATTATTCAAAATCCCAGCCCTAAATTCAGTGGGTTTACCTTTAAAGCAAATAAATGAAAGTGGGGTTTGAGTTGAAGCTGCTGGTTCATCACCGATGGGGTGGCAGATGAGAACTTCTTGTCTGAATAAATTTGAGCAGAAATAGGTTGTAATTAACCCAGTACTTAAAAATCAGGATTTAATTAATAGCTCCGAAAGTCACTTTAAATTCATTTGCACGCACCCAGGAGCAGGGTGCAGTGAGATGGGTAAAGCCTGCAGCGCTGGAGATGTTGAGATGAGCATTAATAGCTTTAAAAAGGGGGTTTATATTGCAATAGGCACCATAAAAGCCCCTCTCCCCCCATCATCCCGACAGCCCAACGCGCTGCGGGCCATCACGCCGTCGGCGGTGGAGGTACTGCTGGGGGTGCTGCAGCGGGGAGGTGGGGGACCCCCCCCCGTCCCCGGGTTGCTGGAGCTGGCGTTACGCAGCGTGGTGGCCGTGGTCCACGTGCTGCATGGCAGCAGTCCTGGCGCCGGCCCTGTGCCCTTGCGTGTCCTCCTGGATGGTTACTTCAGGGTGCTCAATTCAGACCTGCCTGTCGCTTCCTTGGCGCCGGAGGCAGCCGGTGGCCTCATCGCTCTCCGCGTGCTCATGCTGGGTAGGTGGCTGGGGATGGGGATGGGGACGGGGACATGGGATGGGTGCTGAGCCATCCTAACTTCACTGTAGATGCCATCCCGGCCATGCTGCACTGTGAGGACCGACCAGTCCTCCAGGCTGTCTTTCTCAGCAACAACTGCTTCGAGCACATCATTCGGCTCCTCCAAAACAGCAAGGTACCAGCGTTCCCACTTGGTGACACTAGGATTGGGAATGCTCATCTCCATCCTCACCCTTCTTGCTTCTAAACGATGCTGGGACAGGGTGACTGTGCTGCAGTGGCAACCGTGGGGTGGGGACCCTCTATAACCCCCTTCCCTCTTTGCCCCACCCCTTACCGGGTGCTGTTCCTGGAGCTGACACCCACTTCGTGTCCCACAGCTCTACCTCGGCAGCTCACGAGCGGCAAATGAAACCCAGGACAAGGTCCCCACACAGCCACCAGACAGGAATGGGCTCCAGCAGGTATCATGTGAGGCCACCCCATAACCAAACCTCCAGGTATGGTGTCCCGTCAATCCCATGGCTCAGCAGACTCACCACCCCCTTGTCCCTGTAGGTCTCCAACGGCAACTCCGATGCCATCGCGGTCCATGCTGTTGGGGTGCTCACCGCCATCATGAGCAACTCTCCCTCGGCCAAGGTGGGCAGCGGACCAGAGGCAGGGAGGACACCCCAAAAGCGGATGGGTTTGGGCATTTTCACTTTGTTAGGTGGGCTGGGGTGAAAGCAGCCTGTGGTGGGGTTCAGCAAGGGGTCCTACGTGCCTGTGTGCTTGCAGGAGGTGTTCAAGGAGCGCATCGGCTATGCCCACCTCTACGAGGTATTGAGGAGCCAAGGTCAGCCCACCCAACACCTGCTTCAGGAGCTCCTCAACATGGTGAGTATCCCACTTCTTCACGCTGAACAAAGCCCTCAGCGCTCGTGGTTTGTGGCAGATCTTGGCCCCCAACAGCCCCATTCCTTGCCCTCCAGTCCTCTCTACCCTGCTAGTTTCCAATGAGCTTCCTCCTGAAGGGTCTTGGGGCCATCTTTAGCTTGAAGTTATGCTCACTTTAGTGTACTTTTGAGCCCTTTCTGTTGTACTGCTGCTTGCTCCGGTACTGCTGGATGTGCAAGGTCTCCAAAGTGCTTGATTCATGGGGGGTTCCAAAGTGCTTGATGCACAGTGGTCTCTGATGCATGACAGTCTCCAAGACCCTTGGTGCATGGGTCTCCAAAACTCCTGACCCATGAGTCTCTCCAAGATGCTTGATGAAAGGGGTTCTCCAAGACTTTTGATGCATGAGGGTCTCTGATACATTTGATGCACAGGAGTCCCCAAGGGGCTTGATGCACCAGGTCTCTGCTGCCAGCCCAGAGCAGCCAGGGGGAGGATCCATCCCTCTCCACAAGGTGGAGGTGGCTGTACCAACCGACTCTTGTGTTTTGGCAGGCAGTGGAGGGCGACCACAGCTCCTTCCCTGTGCGCCCCATCCGCAACGAGCAGCCGCTGCTCATCCTGCTGGCCTGGCTGCCGGCTCTGGTGTGCCGGGAGCTGCAGATCTTCCTGTCGGGCTGGCTGCGGCGGCTCTGCGAAGCCTCCCTGCCCAGTCGCCTCACCTGTGTCAAGGCGGGCATGGTGGGCTCCCTGCTGGCTGCCCTGGCCACCGAGCCAGCGCTGCCCACTGCCTGCTCTGAAAACTTGCTGGAGCTGCTGCGGGCATTGGGCAGCCTCTCCATTCGCCCTGGAGAGCTGCGGCAGCTGCTGCGCCTGCTGCGGCGTGAGCCAGGTCAAGGACCACATCCCTACGTGGAGCCCGTCATCCGGGCGCTCTCAGGGATGGCACGGGTCGAGGGACCTCCCCGGGCACTGCAGTGCTTCGACCTGACACCCGGCATGGCGGGGATCATGGTGCCTACCATCCAGAAGTGGCCTGGCAGTGCCTTCGCCTTCCACGCCTGGTTGTGCCTGAGTGAGGAGGAGCCCGAGCCACCCGTGAGGCCAAAGAGGAGGCAGCTCTACAGGTGATGCTCAATGGAGGGACCAGGGAAACTAAGGTGAGGACGAGGAGGGGCAGCACCACCATCCTCACCATGTTCCTTCCCTACCAGCTTCTTCACAGCTGGCGGGACAGGCTTTGAGGCATTCTTCACCGCCGGCGGCGTGTTGGTGGTGGCTGTCTGCACCAAGAAAGACTACATGACAGTGGCATTGCCAGAATTCGCCTTCAATGACTCGGCTTGGGTGAGCATCACCCCAATCCCTGTCACTGTCTTCATCCCCATCCCCATTAATGGGGCAACAAGGACCCCAGGATGCCTGATGCCCCTCCTTGTCCACCCAGCACTGCGTTGACATTGTCCACGTTGCTGGACGCCGGCCCTTTGGCCAGAACATTGTCAGCATCTATGCCGATGGGCACCTGCGGAAAACAGCACAGCTCCGCTTTCCTTCCCTCCATGAGGTAGGAGACCCCACAACACCCCGACAGACCGCTCCCCATGGCATGGAGCTGGGGTTTGAGCACAGCTCATCTCCCTTCCAGTCCTTCACCTCCTGCTGCATTGGCTCTGCGGGACACCGGACCACCACCACCACTGCCACCACCGCAAACCACCCACCAGCTTCCCATGGGCCGGAGCTGGTCTTCCCCCAGCACCCTGCACTCGGCCGCTCCCAGTCTGTCCCCGCCGCACTGGGACCCCATGCTTGGACCCCTACTCAGCCTCCCACTGAGGGGGTGGTGGCCACCACAGCAGCCGGGAGCCAGGACACTGAGTGGGGCAGCCCCACCTCCCTGGAGGGTCACCTCGGCTCCGTGGCTATCTTCTGTGAGGCTCTGCAGCAAGCCCAGGTCAAGACACTCTTCTGCACAGGTATGTCAGGATGTGACTGGGGGAAGTGTGGTGCTGGTGCCCAGCAGGGTTTTCTCCACCATGCCCCAGCTCATCCCAATCCTCTTCCCTCAGGACCAAACGTCACATCACCATTTACACTGGAAGGTGACTTGGCGGAGCTCAGCAGCAAGCTCTTGCTGTACTACACCCCACAGGTGAGGAGAGCAACCCCTTTGGTGATGGGGACAGTGTAGGCACACCCTTAGCCATAAGTGACATCTCCAGGAGCATGAGGATGCTCTTATGGTGCTCTCTTCTAGGCCTGCAGGAACAACATCTGCCTGGACCTCTCTCCAAGCCATGTCCTGGATGGAAGGCTGACAGGGCACAAGGTGGTCAACTGGGACGTCAAGGTATGTTGGGTAAGGGTGGCACATCCTGGCTCATCAACCCTATGGCATGGAGGCAATTGGGTCCCTTCTCAGGTAGAAGGCCAGGGCAGGACCTCCGCAGGGTCTTGGCTAGCCATAGTGGTTCCCCTGGACTCTACAGGGACTCTGCCACATGGTATTGAGTCCACCAAGGACCTGCATGACCATAGGTCCCCTAAGGATCTGCCTGCCCCATAGACCCTCAGGCTGGGCACCATTGGTGGTGCCAGGGAGCAGGTGCTTTTTGGGGACCTGTTTCAGGTTTGTGCTGTAGGATGGGTCTGGGCACACCATGATCTTTGGTAGCCACAGGGCCTGGCTCTCCTCGGCTTGGGCTGAGCCTGTGAGCAGGCAGGATGGACCCCAGCTGCACATGTAACCTCCTGTTCTACGCTGCCATCACCGCACAGCACCCAGCAAAGCCTCTCACCTCCCTCTGGCAGGACGTGGTCAACTGTGTCGGTGGGATGGGTGTGCTGCTGCCCCTGCTCGAGCAAGTGGTGTCCAAGAGGGAAGAGCCAGAGGATGAGCAGGAGACCAGTGACCTGGTGGGGCCAGAGCTGACGTCCTCCAGGAATGCCCAGGGCATGCTTATCCCACTGGGCAAGTCCTCAGGTGAGGACCTTGGGGGATGTGGAGCAGGAACCGTCTTGCTCAGGTGGCTGGAGGTAACCCTGCTGTTAAGTAAGTGCTGCCTGGACTAAGCTGGTGTCTTAGGTCTTGCTAGAGGCAACCAAGAATGATGGGTAATGGAGAAAGTGTTGACATCTTTTAATGTTGCTATGCCCCAATTAGTCATAAACGAGCAGTTCTGGGAAGATGAGGGTGACTTCACCCTCCTTACCTCCAGTTTGCCTTTGCGTAGAGTCTCTGATGTCTGTAGAACTGGGTTCATGCCAGAGCCTTCTGCATAGGTGAAATGTGCTCTCTCCCAGTACCCCGAGCTTATTTCCAAGCTCAGAACAATAGAGGTCTCCACTTGCATAAATGTGGGGGAAAAGAGAGAACAGGCTGAAAATTTTGCAGAGAAACATTAATGGTGGGGGTCTCCAGGATGCTCTTCGCAGGCAGATACAGGCAGCGCTGTAGAATGGTGTTTGCGTGGGCACAGGGCTCACAGCTACTGGTGGGGCTCTGCCCTGTGCCTTGCAGAGAGCAGGCTGGAGAGGAACACTGTGGCCGCGTTCCTGCTGCTGGTGAAAAACTTCATCCAGAACCACCCCGTGAACCAGGAGAGCCTGGTGCAGTGCCACGGGCCGGCCATCATCGGGGCACTGCTGCAGAAGGTGTGGTGGGCTACTGAGGGCTCCATCCCGTTGTCCCCAGTACCATTCCCCAAAGGGGATGCCGGGGCTGCAAGCCTCACCTCTCACCCATGGCAGGTCTCCAGCCCACTGCTGGACATGAGCACACTGATGGCCTCACAGATTCTCATGGAGCAGGTGGCCTCCGAGGGCAGCGGGCTCCTGCTGCACCTCCTCTACCAGCATCTCCTCTTCGACTTCCGCATCTGGAGCAACAGCGACTTCGCCGTCCGCTTAGGTGGGAACCGGTTGTGCTTGGGGTGTTCTCCATCCCAACGGGCCTCCATGGCTACTCACAGCTTCCCCCTGCAGGTCACATCCAGTATCTGGCCAGTGTTGTCAAGGACTACAAGCAGCGCATCCGCAAGAAGTATGGGGTGCAGTACATCCTTGACTCCATCCGAACATACTATGGGTGAGCTGCCACTTGTAGTCAGGACCTCCATATGCTGTTGTGGTGGTGGGCTTCACCCCTTGGAGCTATAGCTGGGGGTAGACACCATTTTTGGGGTAATATTCCCCATGCAAGCACCTTTCTCAGTGTGGGAGCATGGTGGTGGGTGCAGGACCCTCCACTCCCCATGGCCATGCCCCATGCCAAGGCTCCACTCAGAGATTTCAGGGCTCATCCAGCCCCAAAATCCACCCCCAGCATCTCTCCAGCAGCAATGGAGAGCAGCATGGTGGCTCCTGCAGCAGGCTGACGCCCTTTTCTTATCTGGCCCAATGTGTTTCTGCGCACCAGTAGTAGTGAGGGTGCTCACATCCCACAGAGACCCAAATGTGTGGGGTGGACATTTCCCAGTGGGCAGGATTGGTTAGAAGGGATGTCCACAGTGGGCTGTCACAAAGCATCTTGGACTTCATGATGGGATTTGAGATCATGCTGGCAGTGGGTGACAAGGGGCAGTTGCGTACATCCCCAGAGGTGATGCCCATGTATGTCCATCCATCAGCACCTCCAGGGAGAAGACCACAGCCACCGATGACATCAAGACAGTGCAAACATCCCTCTTCAGCCTGGTGAAAGATTTCTTCTGCAGAAGCTTCTCTGGGGAGGAGATGCAGAGCTTGCTGAGCTATGTGGCCGGGGCTCAGGATGAGCAGCAGGTACAGCACCAAGCCACCCTGGTCCCTAAACACCTCCGTGTGCTGTGAGCTGGCCCAACACTTCGCAGCAGGTGGGGAGAAGCTGCTGAGGTCCCAGTGGGGTGCATGGAGAGCGGTGGACAATCAGCCCCATGTCCTGCAGGTCTGCGGGGCACTGGAGGTAATCCACAGCCTGTTGAAGGGCTCACCTGCCCAGGAGCAGCTCTTTGCCTTCCTCTTTGAGCCAGGCCATGTGGAGGTCCTCTTCTCACTGCTAGTGCAGAAGAAATTCTCTGATGAAGTGCGAGAGAGGGTTTTCAAGGTAAGGAAGGTCCCCAGTGCCAACCTCTTGCTCAGTGGCCAGTGGTACAGTGGCCACATTTCTCCGTCTCACCAGGTCCTCTACAAGATGCTGAAGTACGAGAAGGTCCCTGAGCGCAGCAAAAGCCGCCTGAAGCTGAAGGACATCGGGTACCATGGCCTCATCGCCTGCCTCAGTGACATCCCTGGCTCCATGCTGCTCTTCCGCTGCCTCTCGGAGCAGGTCCTCGGGGCAGGTACTATGTGCCCTACTAAAACCAGGCTAGCCCTGACTACCCATCCCAAACACATGCCATGGGGTCATCATGGTGGCTTCCCAAGAGGCTCAGCTACTGTTGGGACTGGGGACCTTTGGTGCTTCTGGGGACAGAAGGAGGTGTCGCACCACTGTGCTCTCTCTCCTTGTCCATAGACCCTCCCAACTACAAGGACCTAGTGGCTGTGGTTTACCTGTCCCACCGGGCTGAGTTGACCGTCCGGCTCGACATCTGCCGCAAGGTGAGCAGGGCAAGGAGCGCAAGGGGCTGTGGCTGGGTTGTCATCCTGGGGCTGAGTTTCCTGGGCACTCAGCCATGCCCAAACTCAGGGGCCATGGGGATGGTGGTAACGCCTCATGCACAGAGTTGCCAGCACCTGGACGTATCAGCATGGAGATGGTGCAGCCTCAGCACCCCGTGATAGTTATGGAGGATCTGAGGTGCTCATGACCAAGCATCCTGTCCCTTGGAGGAGCCAACCCCCAAGAGGCAAGCAGGAGCTGGGGCAACAACATCAGGTCTCCCCCTTTTCTTTCTCTTGCAGCTCTTCCACTTGATCTATGCGCAGCAGGACATGGTGAAGCAGCTGGCGAGGATGGCTGGCTGGCAGGACACACTCACCAAGCTCTATGTCAAGGAGTCCTACGAGTCCCGCCAGCACAGCCTGAGCAATGGGAGCAATGGGGGCTGCCTGGAGCTCCTCCGCCTCTCAGACCCTTCTGGCAAGGATGGGGCAAGCCCACCACCAGCTGAGCTGCAGGAGCTGGATGTTTTCCTGCCTCTGGGCTATGAGGCCTCAGACCAGGAGCTCTCTGAGGGCTTCTCTGACCACTCCATCTCCCCAAGTGGCCGCACTAAGTCCTTCCACTCCTACAACTTCAGGTCTTTTGACTCCTCCGACCGGACTAGCCGCTCATCCTCCAATCCTGGTGATGGTCCTCCCTTTGATGGTGTCTACCACCCGCTCTCGCCTTTCTCCACCTCACCATTTGACCTGGGGCTCGACCTGGCCAGCACCAGCTCCATCGCCACAGCTGAGAGTGGCACTCAGACCCCTGCCAGCGGCCCTGGCACACCGTCACCCCTGGAGAGCTTCAAGCCCTTCCCAGGGATGCGAGCGCGCAAGAGTTCCAGCCTCTCAAATGTCCTGGATGAGAGCAGCTACCAGGACATGCTGCCCAGTGACAACATTTCCAACACCAGCAACCCCCAGGTGAGCCCCAGACCATCGTGCCCACCACCCTGGACTATGCTGGAAACAGAAGCTCTCACCCTTCCTCTCTGTTGGCAGCAAACACCTGAGGAGGAGCTGTGCAACCTCTTGACCAACATCATCTTCTCGGTGACATGGCGTGGTGTGGAGGGCTGGGATGACGTGGCATGGAGGGAGCGCGGGCAGGTCTTCTCCGTCCTCACCAAGCTGGGGACGGCGTGCGAGCTGGTGCGGCCTCCCGATGAGATCAAGCGCAGGTGAGTCCTGTGCAGGTCTGGATGGGTGCGTGCCGAGGGAGGACCACCCTACAGAGCTGCCTGCTCTTCCGCAGCCTGCTGGAGATGATGCTGGAGTCAGCACTGACAGATCTGAAGGAGTCAGGGCCAGCCACCCTGCCCGGTCTCACCCACAATGCCCTCAAGCTGCTAAGGCTGCTCCAGGACTTCTTGTTCTCCGAGGGACACAACAACCAGGCCCTGTGGAGCGAGAAGGTGCATGGGCACGAGCAGGGGTTCCTTATCCCAAACCCGAGCTCTGAACCCTAATGCTAACCCCTAAGTGCTGATGTTAGCCCTAACCCTAAACCCTGCCCCTACCTGCAGCACTTGAACCTAACCTTAGAAAATAATCCTAAACCGCAAGCCTAACCCATAACCAGTAAATCAAGCCCTAACCCTAAAGCTTAGCCCTAGCCCTACACCCTTGCCATAAACCTGACACTAACTCTAAACCTTAACCCTAACCCTGCAACTTTACTGTGAAGCCCAATGCTATATCCTAGCCCTAACCCCTAATTCTAACCTTTAACCCCACTCCTTCAACCTTACCATAAACCCAGATCCAATACTCTAATCCTATGTGCTAAACTCTAACCCTAAACCCCATCCCTAACTCTTAACCTGTAAATCTAACCCTAGCCCTTGCTGTAAATGCTCATCTTACACTATTGCTATAAAGCCTAAACCTGATCTTAAACCCTAACCTCTACATCCTTACTGTAAACTCAAAACCTTAGCCCTATGTTCTAATCTATAACCCTAAACCTACCTCATAACTATACCTCCTGAATCCAAATCCTAAACCTTAAGACTATATCCTTGCTGTAAATCTTGGCCCTAACCCCAATTCTATACCCTAGCCTTAACCCAAATCTCCACCCTTAACCCTAACCCTACACTCTTACAGGCAACCAAAATCTTAATCCTATACCCTAAACTGTAAGATGAATTTATAATTTACAAATCTAACCATACCTCCTAAATCCTAACCTACACCTTAACCTTACATCCTTGCTGTAAACTTCAACCCTAATCCCAGTCCTACACCCTACCTCTAACCCCAGTCGTAACCTTTAACCCTATCCCTCCACCCTTACCATAAACCCCTAAAACCCTATATGTAACCCTGATGCTAGACCCGAACTGATTTGTCATTAGGCCCTTGAGTCGGGATTCTAACCTACCCCTATGCTCTAATCCTGACCCCTACCCATAACCCAAACCCATGTCAAGCAAAGCCCCCCCCATGACGGGGACAGACCTGGTGGCTTTGCACCCACCCAGCCAGAGAGGTGGGGGGTGCGTGGCCGGGTGTGGGTCTCACTGTGCCCCCCCAGATCTACGAGGGGGTGAGCAGTCTGCTGGACAAACTGGGCGTCTGGTACCACCTGGCCAATGGCACCTCTGACCTCAAGGAGATGGCCCAGACGGGTCTACGCATCCTCGTGGGCTACATCATGCTGCAAGACCCCCAGGTGGGTCACCCTGTCCTGGGGTGAGACCCCAGCCCTTGATGCAGGGCAGCTGGCCCCATCTGATGGCCGTGTCCTCCCCAGTTGCACTCGCTGGCGTATGTGAAGCTGCACAGCCTCCTGCAGACCTCCTCGGCTCCCAGAAAGGATGAAGCTTGCTACCTCCTGGGCAAGCTGGAGACCCCACTGCGGCGCTCACTAGAGGCCAAGTCAGAGACCTTCTCCTGGTTGGTGCCCATCGTCCGTACGCTGATGGACCAGTGCTATGAGACCCTGCAGCTGCAGCTCTTCCTGCCCTCGCTGCCTCCCACCAATGGCAGCCCCACTTTCTATGAGGACTTCCAGCTCTTCTGCACCACACCGGAGTGGAGAGGCTTCATCGAGAAGCACGTGGGTCCCGTGGGGCATGGGGTGGCATCACTATCGCAGGAATACTCTCGCAGGCTTAGAGATGGGTCTGTGCTGTGGCAGGGTTCCCATGTCACCACCAGAGTGGGATAGCCTGCAGGGCAGGGATGCTTGTAGCCTGGAGGATGGTTGGTGGGTGCCCAGCCCTGCAAACACCTCACCTCTTGTCCCGGTTCTATTGGTAGGTGCAGCCCACCATGGCCCAGTTTGAGATGGACACCTTTGCCAAGAGCCACGACCACATGTCCAATTTCTGGAATGCCTGCTATGATGCTATGATGAGCAGCTCGCAGCGACGGGAACAGGAGAAGGCAGCCAGTGGCAAGATGTTCCAGGTATTGCCTGTTCCTCTCCCCTGGGATATCACCCTGGGAATGTGCTTCTGGGGGCATGTGCTTCTGGGGACATGCTTCTTACCCCGAAGATATCATCCAGGAGATGTGCTCCTTGCTCTGGGGTTGTCATCCTAGCAACATGCTCTTCTCCCTGAATAAACAATCCTGGGGATTGTGCTCCTCATCTCAAGGAATGTCATCCTGGGGACATCCTCCTCACCCTGGGGACATGGTCCTTGGAACATGCTCCTCATCCTGGGAGTATCATCCCAGGGACGTGCTTGTCAACCCAGGGACATTGTTTCATGTGCAACTCACCCTGGGTGTGTGCTTCTTACTCCAGGGTCATCACCCAGGGGTCATAGGGATGTGCTCCTCACCCTAGGGACATTCATTTTGGGGATGTGCTTTTCACCCTGGGGATGTCATCATGGGGAGATCTTCCTCACTCTGGGGACGTTGTCCTCAGGATGCACTCCTCATTCCAGGGACATTGTTCTGGGGACATGCTCCTCACCCCAGGGACATCATCCTGGGGATGTGTTCCTCAGTCTGGGGATGTCATCCTAGAGACATTCTTTCCCAGGGACATGCTTGTCAGCCTGGAAACATTGATCCTGGGGATGTGCTCTTCATCACGGGGACATGTTCCCTACCCTGGGGACACTGCCCTCAGGAAGTGCTCCTCATCCTGGGGACGTTTTTATAGGGATGTGCTTCTCATCCGAGGAACATCATCCCAGAGATGTGCCCATCATCCTAGGGATGTGCCTATCATCCTAGGGGTGTGCTCTTTACCCGAAGTATATCATCCTGGGGATATCCTCCTTGCCTTGGGGACAACACCCCATGGACATGCTCCTTACCTTGGGGATGTCCCCAAGCCCCAGCTCTGCTGTCACTTCACTCTCCTGCTCCCTTGGCAGGAGCTGGTGCTGGAGCCAGTGGCAAAGCGCTCCAAGGTGGAAAACATTCGACATGCCAACGTGCTCAAGCAGGCCAACAACCACCACAGCACCGTGCTGAAGCAGTGGCGGTCCCTGTGTCGCCTCCTCACCTCTCCCCGCTCCGCCTGGGCTGACCGGTGAGCCCCAACCTGAGTCCCCATAGAGGGGTGCCATGGCTGGGCGTCCCCAGGGTGCCTCACCTTCACCTGCCTGCAGGAACCCACCGGAGGTCCGCTGGAAGCTGTCAAGTGCTGAGACCTACTCCAGGATGAGGCTGAAACTGGTGCCCAACCTGAATTTTGACCAACACTTGGAGGCCAGTGCCCTACGGGACAACTTGGGTGAGGCTGATGAGAGTGGGGCACCCAGGGGTCCCCATATGCCACAGGCAAGGGGGTGCCAGCGTTGGCTGTACATGGTGGGGTTGAGCTGGAAGCTGTCATGGACCCTGTTGGGATTGGGGGGTGTGATGGGGTCCTTCACAGGACTTGTCCCCCAGCTGTGAGGGGGGCCTCCTGACCCCCTCCTCATTGCAGGAGCTGACCACCTCCACAACCCTGCTGAGTCCCTCCCGCTTGCCATGGCCAAGGAGGCCAAGGTGAGCGAGCTGGAGGACGACCAACTGGCCGAGGAGGACCTCCCCGTCCTGGACAGCCAGTGAGTGTTCCCATTCCCTGCAATGGTGTTGGCTCAACCAGACTGGGAGTGTCACCAGTGGGGTGTCCTCACCCCCCTGGGTGTCACCCAGGGCTGAGCCCAAGGAGCAGAACCAGCGGGAGAAGCTGGTGGTCTCAGAGGACTGCGAGCTCATCACGACGGTGGCTGTCATACCCGGGCGCCTGGAGGTGACAACCCAGCACATCTACTTCTATGACGGCAGCAGCGAGAAGGAGGAGACGGAGGGAGGTAACAGCATGTGCTAACTGGGTGGTTCCTGCAGCAAGGCGGGGTGAGGACCCCCCTTACCCATCCGATCACCCCAGAAGCCCATCACACTGGGTGCTGGTTGTTTGGGGGGTGGGCTCCTCCCATTCCCAGGGCAATGCTGGCCCCAGTCACTGCCTCGGGAGTGGGGGTCTGGGTGGATGGTGGCACCCATGGGGCTCTGTGTTCGCGTCTCGGCAGGGATCGGCTATGACTTCAAGCGCCCCTTGTCCCACCTCCGGGAGGTCCACCTGCGCCGCTACAACCTGCGCCGCTCCGCACTGGAGCTCTTCTTCATTGACCAGGCCAACTACTTCCTCAACTTCAGAAAAAAGGTGGTGGCAACCTTCCTGCTGCCCCAAACCCCTCCTGGGGCCTCAGCACTGCCCAGGCTCCAGGCACTCCATGTCCTCCCCTCCATCCGCACAGGTGAGGAACAAGGTGTACTCCTGCATCCTTGGCCTGCGTCCCCCCAGCCAGATCTACTTTGGCAGCCGGTCGCCTCAGGAGCTGCTGAAAGCCTCAGGGCTCACACAGGTACCAGCCCTGCCTTGCCCACCTCCACCCCATCTCTCTCCTTCTTCTTGGCAAAGGGGGGGATGCCCATGGACCAGGGATGGCCATGGGACTAGAGATGGCCATAGGCTAGGGATGACCATAGGATGGGGAATGGTCATGGGACTGGGCATTGCCACAGAATGGGAATGGCTGTAGGACCAGAGATGGGCACAGAGTGGGAATGGCTTTGGAGCCAGGGATGGCCATGGAATAGGAGTGGCTGTGGGATCAGTGATGGTGGACCAGAGATGGTCATGGCATGGGGATGACCACAGTACCAGGGACAGTCTGGGACTAGGGATGGCCATGGGACCAGCACAGCCATGGGGTGGGAGTGTCTGCCCCATCTTCTGCCTCTGCCAACCCATCTTGGACACCCTTGCTTCACCCTAGAAATGGGTCCTGAGGGAGATCTCCAACTTCGAGTACCTCATGCAGCTGAACACAATCGCAGGGCGCACCTACAATGACCTCTCCCAATACCCTGTGGTGAGCCCCATCTCCCCCCACTGTCCCCCAGTGATCCCATGTCCCCCTCCAGCCTCACCCACCTCCCACCCCCTGCAGTTCCCCTGGATCCTGCGGGATTACGTCTCAGAGACCCTTGACCTCACCAACCCGGCAGTGTTCCGGGACCTATCCAAGCCCATTGGAGTGGCCAATGAGCGGCATGCCCAGGAGGTGAAGGAAAAGTGAGTACCCCACAAATGAGGGATGGGGGTGCAGGGAGTGTTTGGCTGGCTCCTGGTGGACCCCCTTCCACCTCGCCCCCAGGTACGAGAGCTTTGAGGACCCCACAGGCACGGTGGACAAGTTCCACTACGGCACGCACTACTCCAACGCAGCAGGGGTCATGCACTACCTGATCCGCACCGAGCCTTTCACCACCCTCCACATCCAGCTGCAGAGTGGCAGGTGGGTGCCCAGCGGGTGCCTCCCGGGGAGGGGACATCAGTGAGGATGAGCAGGCTCCAACCAGTTGTCCTGTGCTACCAGGTTTGACTGCTCAGACCGTCAGTTCCACTCGGTGCCAGCAGCATGGCAAGCCCGCATGGAGAACCCTGTGGACGTCAAGGAGCTCATCCCAGAGTTCTTCTACTTCCCAGAGTTCCTGGAGAACATGAACGGTGAGGGGCACCCATCATCCCCACCATGGGAACAGCACCCATGGGGGCGCTGCAGGGATAAGCATCCCTCACCCCCTGCCTGCTCTGCCTGCAGGCTTCGACCTGGGCTGCCTGCAGCTCTCCAACGAGAAGGTGGGCGATGTGGTGCTGCCCCGGTGGGCACGCTCCCGTGAGGACTTCATCCATCAGCACCGCAAAGCCCTGGTGAGGTGGCGGAGCTCACCCAGCCCGTCCTCTGCTCCCATCCTTGGGGGAGTCGCTGCAGGGGGTGGTGGGCATTTGTGGCCCATCCTGATGCGGCCCATCCTGATGTGGCCCATCCTTGGACAGGAGTCGGAGTATGTCTCAGCCCATCTCCACGAATGGATCGACCTCATTTTTGGGTATAAGCAACGAGGCCCGGCTGCAGTGGAGGCCCTCAACGTCTTCTACTACTGCACATATGAAGGTGAGCCATGGGGCAAGTAGATGGGGGGAGCACCTGCAAGGTGTCCCCCGCATGACTGTCCCCATCCCCAGGGGCTGTGGACCTGGATGCCATCGCTGACGAGACACAGAGGAAGGCTCTGGAGGGCATCATCAGCAACTTTGGGCAGACGCCCTGCCAGCTGCTCAAGGTAGCTTATACCCCCACCCCAAAACACCAGCCCCTTTCGGGAGGCCACCCCCCTTCTCATGGGTACCCTTGGCCCTCCAGGAGCCCCATCCTGCCCGGCTCTCAGCAGAGAGTGCTGCCCGGAGCCTGGCCCGTCTTGACACCCGCTCACCCAATGTCTTTGAGAACCTGGACCAGCTCAAGTCCTTCTTTGTGGAGGTGAGGACAGCCCTAGGGGAAGGCTGGCTAGGACTGGGGTGGGGGGGTGTGGCCAGGAGAGCACCCACCAGGTGCTGTCTCCCTGCAGGGCATCAGCGATGGGGTGGCCCTGGTGCAGGCTGTGGTCCCCAAGAACCAGGCACACTCCTTCATCACTCAGGGATCACCTGACGTCCTGGTGAGTGCAGGGGAACTGAGGCATGGGTGCATGCTGCTAGCCTGGGGGGAGACTGGGACCAAACCCCCGGAGGGCTCTAGTGGTGGGAGCTATGTCACCTCCCTCTCCATCTCTGCCTAGGTCACCGTGAGTGCCAACGGCTTGCTGGGGACCCATAACTGGTTACCCTATGACAAAAACATCTCCAACTACTTCAGCTTCACCAAAGACCCCACTGTCTCCAATGCAAAGTGAGTTGGGCACTTGGTACCCGGCGAGGGTCCCCAGAGGTGCCACCAGCCCACTCATTGCTCTGCCCCTGTCCCATGTCCTTCCCCACCAGGACCCAGCGCTTCCTGCAGGGCCCCTTCGCCCCTGGCGCAGACCTCTGCTCCAGGACACTGGCTGTGTCTCCCGATGGGAAGCTGCTTTTCAGTGGGGGACACTGGGACAACAGCCTCTGTGTCACCTCGCTGGCCAAAGGGAAGGTCGTTGGGCACATCACGCGGCACATAGGTATGTCCTCCTCCAGTGGTGAAGGTCTGATGTTGCCCTGATGGGTTTGTAGTGCCATGGGGGAAGGCAAGGACATGTGAGAGGGTAGGGGATATCTCCCAGTGCCTCCCATCTTCTGCAGACAGTCCAGGCTCTGTCTCAGTCGCAGGATGGGATTAGGGTTAGCAGCATCTCCACCCCCCAAAATACATCTTGATGCTATCCCCTGGGGTCAGGGGGCCAAGCATGGTGGGATGGGATGAGCACCTCACAGTGTCCCTCTGGGTATCATAGATGTTGTTACCTGCCTGGCACTTGACCTCTGTGGCATCTACCTCATTTCTGGGTCCCGGGACACCACCTGCATGGTGTGGCAGGTCCTGCAGCAGGTAGGGTGTTGATCCTTACCTCATGTTCCAGCCATGATGGGGTAGGGAGCCCTACCCCATGCTCCAGCCACAGAGCTCGTGGTGGCACTGCCACCAGGTCACTGAGGCCCTCGTGTCCCCAATGCCAGGGTGGGTTTTCCAGTGGCTTGGCTCCCAAACCCGTCCAGGTCCTGTACGGTCATGATGCCGAGGTGACATGCGTGGCCATCAGCACCGAGCTGGATATGGCAGTGTCAGGATCCAAGGTGAGCTGGGGTGGGCAGCAGCATGGGTGGCAGGGTGAGCAGTGCCACCATCATCATTACCTTGTGTCCCCTTAGGATGGCACCATCATCATCCACACCATCCGCCGGGGTCTCTTCATCCGGTCCTTGCGGCCCCCCGGCGAGAGCTCGCCACCCGCCATCCTCTCCCACTTGGCTGTGGGGCCGGAAGGGCAGGTGGTGGCCCAGACCGCTGTGGGTCAGCGAGCCTGCTTGAAGGTATGGCCAAGTGTCACTGCATCCTCCCTGTCGTCACAATCAGCGTGTGTGCTCCCCCCGACTTTGCGCTGTCTTTCAGGACAGGTTCGCGCTGCACCTCTACTCCGTGAATGGGAAGCACCTCTCCTCCGTCCCGCTGGATGAGGAGGTGACAGCCATGTGCCTGACAGAGGACTTTGTGGTGCTGGGGACCATGCAGTGCGGGCTGGAGATCCGTGACCTCCAGAGGTGAAGGCTACCGCCCACCTTGTCCCACTCCAACCACCTCCTTAGGGTGCCCGGTGGGATCGAGGGGTCCCATCCCATCACTTGTCTTCTCACAGCCTGAGGGCAGCCGTGGCCCCTGTGCCCATGCGGGTGCCCATCCACAGCGTGTCCGTCACCAAGGAGAAGAGTCACATCTTGGTGGGGTTGGAGGATGGGAAGCTCATCGTGGTGGGGGCTGGGCAGCCCGCAGAGGTGAGCGTGGACCCCCAGTGGTGATAGGACTAGGAGGGTTGTACCTCAGTGTCCCCTGGGTGCTGCTGGGCTGGAGATCTCTCTTTGTCCTCCTTGGTCTCCAGAGCAGAAGTGGACAGGGGTGGGGTGGGGAGATACGGAGGAGGAGATATGGTAAAGGGAGGAAATGGAGAAAGAGGTGGATTATAGGGAAGGGGATGGAGATGGAGGTGGAGAAGGGGACGGTGGTGGATAGTGATGACGATGGGGTTGGGAAAGGGACCCAGGTGCAGATGGGAAGGGTGATGGGAGAAGGGATGGGGATAAGAATGCGGATGTGGAAGGGGAAGGGGATAAGTGGGGGTGAAGCAAAGGATGGGGGTTTGAAGGGGCTGTGTGATGAGAAAGGGTGGGAGCGATGGATATTTGGAAGAGGATGGAGAAGGGGATGAGGATAGGGATGGAAAAAATGGGGATGGAGAAGGGGTTGGACATTTGGGAGGTGACAGTGATGGAGAAGAGGATGGGGAAGGAGAAAAGGATAAGGATGGAGAACGGGATGGAGGTTTGGGAGGTGATGGGGATGGAGAAGGCAATGAGGATGGATAAAGGGTATGGGGATGGGGAAGGGGACAGGGTGTGGGTGCTCATCCCCTCTCATCCAGGTGCGACCAGGCCAGTTCCACCGGCGGCTGTGGCGCTCCACGCGGCGCATCTCCCAGGTCTCTGCCGGGGAGACAGAGTACCACCCTGCCGAGGGCAAGGCCTAGGCTGGCACCCAACACCCGCCCAGGGCGCCTGGCACGCAGACAGGGGTGCCCCTGCACCCGCAGAGCCGGGGGGCCGGTGAGCCCCGCACTGCCCGCAGGCTGCCTGCTCAGCCCATCGCCCGTGGCCTTATCCAGCTCCCGGTGGGGTGGGGGGCGCAGGATTGCCCCCCCAGTTTTAGGGGGACGTGTCCCTCCATCCTACAGAAGGATGGGGGAGGGGAGTCGGCGGTGGGGACCCCTCGCTGGGAAGGGGGGTACCACGTTCCCCCCACCATTCCGCTGGCCAGGAGCCGGCCAGTGTGTTCTCTCTTCCCCCCTTTTTTTGTTGTTTTGTTGGTTTCTTTTCTATCCATTTTTAGACCTTTTACAGAAAAAGAAATTAATAATAATATATCTATGGGAAATAAATGCGTGCAAGGCCCCTGTCCGCCCTGAGCCGGATGGGGGAGTGACACCCCCTCTGTGGTATCCCACGTTCCCATGTGACCCCCTCTTCCATGTATCCCACTCTCTGGTGTGTGTGTCCCACCCTGGGGTGTTTTGAAGCCCTTTCTGCCTTCACCACATACTGAGGCCATCCCAGCACAGCCTGTGCTCCAGGCTGGAGACCAGCAGGGCCCCATGGCAGCAGGACCCAGGCAGGCTGGGACATGGGGGACACACATGTCATGAGTGCAGGGGAGCGCAGGAGCCCATGGGGCTCAGCAGCCGTGTACCCATGTGTGACAAGTGTAAGGGGTCCCAGTAACCCTGTACCTATATCATGGGTGTAGGGGGTCTCATCAGCTGTGTACCCATGTGTCAGGAGTGGTGGTGGCTCTCAGCAGCCGTGCATCCATATGGCAGAGCTGGGGAAAGGGGGGCTTTGTCTCATCAGCCGTGTACCCATGAGTGCAGGGGGTCCCAGCAGCCAGGCACCCGTGTGGATGAGTGTAGGGGGAGGGGGCCTCAGCAGCTGTGCACCCATGTGTCACAAGTGTGGGGTGGTCTCAGCAGCCACGCAGCCATGTGGTGTGAGCATGGAGGTCTCAGCACCTGCGTCAGCCGCCATAAGCACACGTGTCATGAGCATGGGGGGTCTCAGCTGCCATGTACCCACATGGCACAAGGGTGGGATGTCTCGGGAGCTGTGCACTGCACAGGGTGCTCTCAGCAGCCGCGTACCAGCAAGTCATGAGCACGAGGGGTGTCTCAGCACCCCCGTGCATCCCCATCTCGCAGGACTGAGCTCTCAGCAGCCACGCACCCACGTGTCACAAGCACAGGGGGGTTGTTTCTCAGCAGCCCTGTGCATACGCAGCCACCCTTCCTCGATCACCCCCCGCACACACAGAGGCTCCCTAACCGGTCGCTGTCCCCACGGAGCTGGCAGCCTGTCCCCGTGCTGTCCCAGGGAGACCGAGCGTCCCCGGCCGCGGCGCCCGTGTCCTCCCCTGCTCCGCCCCCCCGGGGGGGCCCCATGGCCGGCAGCGACCTCTGTCCCCGGCCGAGGCTGGCTGCGGTGCCCGTGGCATCACGTGGAGCGGGCACCAGCGGGGCCACCGAGCCACCGGAGCCGAGCCCGGAGCAGCCGCAGCGCCGGGTGGAGGAGGGATGGACGGACGGAGAGACAGGTGGGACAGGGCAGGGGAGGGATGGGTGCTCAGGGTGCCGGCGGCACCTTCACCTCGGAGAGCCTGTGCTGGGTGCCCTGGGTGTCGGTGGGGACACCAAGGTCCCACTGCTGTCCCCACGTCCCGGTCCAAGTGGCACAGGCAGCCTAGGTGGCACAGGCTCACGTGCCCCACGTAGCCCGGTTCCCAGTGGCCTGTGCCAGCCGTCCGTGTTCCCAGTGTCCCCATCCCAGTGACCCAGTACCTACATAGGATGATCCTAGCGTGGGTGCAGGGTTTTTAATGGAGGGGATGTACACTGGGTACAGGTGTGGGGGGTGCTTGGCTGGGTGCGGGGCTGGCTTTGGGGTGGGTGCAGGTCAGGCTCCCTCTTTCCCCCACTCTGTGCCCCCTCCCCGCAGCACCAGCACGTGGCTGGGAGCCCCCCTGCAGCAGTTGCCCACCCCGGCGCTGACCCTGGACCAGGTGACGATGCGGCGCAACGCCGAGCGCATGCGGGAGCGCTGCCAGGCCCTGGGCCTGCGCCTGCGCCCCCACGTCAAGACCCACAAGACCCTGTGAGTGTGTCCCCAGTATCTGTCCCAGCACCCCCCAACATCTGCCCACCCTCTTCCCCAGCAGCCCCCCAGCATCTCCCCATTCTAACCCCCAACATCCCGCTGGTATTCCCCACCTTTCCCACCAATATCTCCCCACCCTTCCTTCAAAATCCTCCCCTGGCATCCCCCCAGAGCCCCTCAACATTCCCTCCACCTTCCCCAGCAGCATCTTCCCATCCTCCTCCCTAAAATCCCCCTCCAGTATCTCTGCACCATTCTCCTCACCTTCCCCACCTGCATCATCCTGATCCTCTTCCCGGAAATCCCCCACCAGCATCCCCCAACTTCGCCCCAGCATTTCCCCCACCTTCCCCACCAGCATCTCCACATCTTCCTCCCCTAAAATCCCCCTTCAGCATCCCCAAAAGATCTCCCTTAGCATTTCCCCATCATCCCTCCAGCGTCCCCCATCTTCTCTCCTAGTATCCCCCAGGAATCCTCCCCAGCAACCCTCCATCCTTCCCCAAGATTTCCCATCCAACATCCCCCTTAATATCCCCCCTAGCATCTCCCTAGCATCTTCCCCATATATCCTCCAGTATCCTCCCAGTATCCCACCCAGCATCCCCCATTGTGACCCCCAGCATCCCCCATCCTGCCCCCAGCATCTCCCCTCTTCTCCCCCCACTATCCCTCCCAGTACCCCCCAGTCACCCCAGCAGCAACCCCATCCTCTCCCCACTTTCCCCCCTGGTACCGCCTTAGCATCCCCCTCTCACCTTCCCACCACGTCCCCCAGCGAGGGTGCTGAGCTGGCCACCGGCGGCACGCGACGCGGCATCGTGGTGTCCACCTTGGCCGAGGCCCAGTTCTTCGCAGCGGGGGGCTTCGATGACATCCTGTACGCTTACCCGCTGCCAGGGGGGCGGCTGGAGGAATGTGCTGCCCTGGCCCAGCGCCTCGAGGCCTTCCAGCTCCTCCTTGACAGCCCCCAGGCCTTGGCCCTGCTGCGCCAGTGCCCGCTGCCCCCCGGCAAGCGCTGGCTCGTCTGGCTCAAGCTTGACTGTGGGAATGGCCGGGGTAGGTGGCACCCCGTGTACCCCAGCAATACCCTGGGTGAGGGCGTGCTGACATAACCCAGGAGAGACACTTCCTCTGCAAGTGTGCTTTCACCCGGGCACCAGCCCCTGGGATGCTCGATGGGGTGGGATGCTCCCCAACAACTGAAACAGAATGGGGCATTTAAGACACTCTTCCCCCAGAATAGTACTCAAGGATGTGCTATGGGGCAGAGGTGGCCCAAAGCCCCATGAAGAAGAAGTTCTTCCCTGTGAGGGTGGTGAGGCCCTGGCACAGGTTGCCCAGAGAAGCTGTGGCTGCCCCATCCCTGGCAGTGTTCAAGGCCAGGTTGGATGGGGCTTGGAGCAACCTGGTCTAGTGGAAGGTGTCCCTGCCTCTGGCAGGGGGCTGGAAGTAGATGAGCTTTAAGGTCCTCTCCAACCCAATTCCACACTGGTATTTTTCTGGTTTAATTCCTCCCCACACCCCCCATTTTCCCCCACACCCAGGATGTCCCATGGTGGGGATGCCCCATGTCCCCTCCCCATCCCTGCCATCCCTCCCAACACAGGGTTCTTCCCAAGCCGCCCATCCCAGCACCCACATCGAGACCCTCCTTGCACCCTGCAGTCGGTGTGCGCCCCACAGACCCCAGCGCCATGGCCCTGGCCCGGGCCATCGCCGAGGAGGCACCGGAGGAGGTGACACTGGTTGGGGTCTATGCTCACTGTGGGAACACGTACGGCTGCTGCGACGTCCAGGCTGTCCAAGCCATCTCCAGAGCCACCACCAGCGCCGTGCTCGACTTCGTCACCGCGTGAGTGCCCAAACCCAGGGACCGGCAGAGTTAAGGGGTATTCTGCAGGGGGGGATGTCTCCATCCACACCACAGATGTGTCTCCAACCCCATAAAGCCCCGATGCCTGGTTGTAAATGCAAATCACCCCCATAAAAGGTGCCCTACAAAGCTCCCCCGGGGAGCTGGAGGAGGATGTTGGCGGCTCCAGTCACCTTTGATGTGGCTTTGGTGGCGGGTTGTGACCTGTGTCATTGTCCCCCTCCTCCTTGTCACCCTTTTGTCCCAGCGGGGTTCTGCATCCTGGAGGGAATTGCTGCCAGATGGTTCCTGCTGAGGAGGTGGGGCGAGGTCAGTGGGGTCCCCTGGGACCCCCATCACTCCCTACACAGGGATGTGCTCCCCAGTCCCACCCCAGCCAGTTGCGGCACTGGTTTGTGATAAGGAAACTGAGGCACGCAGGGAAACCTCCTTCCTCCCAATCCCTCCTCATCCCCAAAGTTGTGGGGGCTGCTCTGGCATAGCTGGGGCTCCCAGGTACATCTTGGGCTGGCCCCAAGCATATCTGGTGGGTGCTGTAGCACATCTAGAGGGGTCCAGAAACATCAGGAAGGGGTCCCAGACACATTAGGACAGGTGCCCTGGCATATCAGGGACGGAGGGGAGACCTGCCTCGAGTGGGGTTCTCTGGCACATCTGGCTGGCTCCCCAGTACATCTTGGGATCTTCCTGGCACACAGTGGGGCAGCTCTGCCAAATCTGGATGGCTCCCTTGAACATGTGGGGGGCTCCCTGGCACATCTGGGGCTCCTTGAGTCATCACCACTTCTGGTCCTGCTCCCCATGGTGCCTGAGGGTGCTGTCCCCCAGGGCACTCAGCAGGTCCCATGTGCCCGCAGGCTGCGGCAGGCGGGGGTGCCGTGTCCCCAGGCCAGCATTGGCTCCACACCATCCTGCAGCCACCCGGTGCCAGAGATGGCCCAGCTCACCGAGGTCCACCCAGGCAACTACCTCCTCTATGGTGGGTCAGGACTGCCCTTCCCAGCCCTGGTGTGACCCCCCTGAGGTGGGATGCACCCCAGCCTGACCCGGGCGCCGTCTCCTCCCAGACCTCCAGCAGACGCTGCTGGGCTCCTGTCTGCCGGAGGAGGTGGCCATCCGCGTCCTCACCAGGGTCGTCGGTCACTACCCGCACCGCAACCAGCTGCTGGTGGACTGCGGGTGGGCCGCCCTCAGCCTCCATGGCCGCGACCAGTCTCCTGCGGGCTGCGCCGCCATCGAGGGGCACCCCGAGCTCCGGTGAGCACTATGGCGGGACATGGGGGGAGCAGATAAGGGTGGGGATATGACGGCGTGTCCCCACAGGCTGGTGGGGCTGACGCAGGAGCACGGGCAGGTGGGAGCCGTCGATGGACAGTTGGATTTTGGGCGCTACCCGCTGGGCAGCATCCTGGCTCTTATCCCATTCCATGTGAGTATCGATCTCATCATGCCCCGCCATGCCCTGCCACGGCTCAACATTCCCACCCACCACAGGCCTGTGCCACCGCCGCCATGCACCCGGTCTATTACGTCCATGCTGAGGGGAAGGTGGTGGAGCTCTGGCGCCCCGTCCGCGGCTGGTAGGGAGGAGAGTGGGGAGCTGAACCCACACCGAGACCCTGCGCCTATGCCAGGATGCTGCATCCGTACCACAGCGCTGCACCCGCACCAGCATCCTGCACCCGTGCCAAGGTCCTGCTACTCCCACACCGATATCCTGCACCCACACTGGGGTCCGGCATCCACGTGTGGTGCTGCACCCACACAGAGCCCCTGCACCCACCCCAGGGTGCTGCACCCCAATACCACATCAATAAAGCTGCTTTTCCCACTTCCAGACATTTTTGTCCCTGGGCAAGAAGGGGGCGAGCGGTGAGGGGGACACTCAGAGTAACCGGTGCAAAGCGGCCCGCTCCGGCTCTGTTTGGGCCGGGCCGGTCCCCGTGGGGCCGGTACCCGCCGGGCTGGCCGGGCCGGGACCCGAACCTGCAGCGACCCGAACCCAGCCGAGCCGGGAGGGGAGGAGCCCAGCACGGAGCCCCCCGCCCCTCGGCTCGCAGCCAATGGCGGAGCGCCCCGCCCGGCCCGGCTCGGGTCGGGGGGAGCCGCGCCCAGCCCCGCCGAGCGGACCGGAGGGAGCCGAGCGGAGCCGGACCGGACCGAAGGGAGCCGAACCGAGGCGGATCGAAGCGAGCAGAGCCGGAGCGGATCGGAGCGGTCCGGAGCAGATCGGCTCAGCTCGGCTCGTAGCCCCCTGGGCCGGGCCCGGGTCTCCGCGATGCGGCGGGGCCGTGCGGTGCTGCCGGGGCCGGGGCCGGTGCTGCTGCTGCTGCTCTGCTCGGTGCGGGCGGGACTGGGCGGGATGGGATCGGACCGGGACCGGAGCGGTGCGGGAAGGGACTCCCGGGTACCGCTCCGGGACCCGCCGTTGCCCAGCTTCACTTCACTTTCGTTGTGTTTCTTTTTGGCTTGTTTTATTGTATTTGTGGTTATTTTAGTTTTGTTCGTTTGGGTTTAGTTTATTTAATTTGGTTTTATTTTATTTTACTTTATTCCATTCTATTTTACCTGATTTAATTTTATTTTTATTCATCCCGTTTCACTTTATTTCATCTTATTTCGTTTTCTTTCTTTTTAGTTCACCTCAACCTATTTTATTTCATGATTCTTTTTATTTTTTACGTGACTATTTACTTTTCTTTTTTCATTATTATTTTCACGTGACTTTCCAAATCCATTTATTTCCATTTATTCTTTTTTCTCTTTATTTTTTTACTTATTTCTCAGTTCTTCATCCCAACCCAGTCTATTTTATCCTCCCCCTCTTCCCAAAAAGTGGTACCCGTGACCCCCCCCCCCCCCCAGCACCCCTTTACTCCCCCATCCCGAGTGGGACCACGGGGTGCCCCAAGACCCCAACCCGGGGTGGGGAGCACAGCAGAGGTTTGGGAGGGCTCCTGGTTCTCCCCACCCGGAGCAGGAAGGGGGCAGATCCTGATGCCGCCCCCCCTCCCCCGTAGGTTCCGGGTCGCGGCGAGGAGTGCGGGAGGCGGACGGCGGCGGGGGGGTGCTGCACCCCGTGCCCCCCCGGGTTCGGTGTCTCGGAGCCCTGCGGCCACGCTGACACCCGCTGCCAGCCCTGCGCACACAGTGAGTACCCCGCGGCCCCCCCGCACCCAAACCCACCCCAGCACCCACCCGCACCCTCTCCCCCCCCCCCCCCAGACCAGACCTTCTCTGCGGTGAGCAGCGCGGAGGAGCCCTGCCGGCCCTGCACCCTCTGCCCGCTGCCCCCCGCGAGGCCCTGCACCCCTGCCCGCGACACCCTCTGCACCCGTGAGTAGCACCCGGGTACCCCCTGCTGTGTGTGTGTGCCAGCATGGGGTGGCTGTGCCTCAGTTTCCCCTCTGAAGGGGACACTGAGGCAGCGGCTGGGCAAACGGAGCTCCCCTGACCTTTTGGGGGTCTCCATCCGAACCCCACAGATGAGGAGCTGGTGACAGGGGGGCCCTCGCCTGCCACCCCGGAGCTTGCGTTGCCACCACCGGAGGCCAGCGGCGAGGACATCATCCCCGTGTACTGCTCCCTCCTGGCCGCCGTCGTGGTGGGGCTCCTGGCCTACGTGGCCTTCAAGTGGTAGGTTTGGGGGGCACACGGGACAGAGATGGGGAGAGCAAGACCCCGGCACCCCGGGTGACCTCGCCCCCCGGCTGCGGGCAGCTGGCGCACATGCAGGCAGAAGCAGCAGCTGGCCAAGGCGCGGGCAGGGGACGTGGGGACGTGCCCCGAGGGGGAGAAGCTCCACAGCGACAGCGGGGTCTTCCTGGACACCCACAGCCTGCAGGAGCCTCACCAGCCCGGCAAGGGTGAGCACCCGCCACCCACAGCACGTCTGTCCCCAGTGCCATCAGGATGGGGTTGAGGAGCACCATGGGTGGGTTGGGGGTCAGGGTGCACCTGTCCCCATGGAGCATCTGGATGGGGTTGGGATGCTGTTGGGAGCACCACCTTGGCCCAGGGAGCATCCATATGGGTTTGAGGTGCCACCATGGCCTATGGAGCACCTGTATGGGGTTGGGGTGCACCTAAACCCCAGGGAGCACCCATGTGGGGTTGGGAAGCATCCCTACCTTGGGGTTCACCTGAGTGGGTTGGGGAGCATCCATGCCCCAGGGAACATCCATACTTTGGGAGCATCTGCACAGGTTCTGGGGGGCACTCACACCCCAAGGAGCACCCAGGTGGGGCTGGGATACACACACACTCCAGGGAGCATCCTGATGGGGTGAGGGTGCATGTTTGCACCAGGGAGCACACAAATGGGGGCAAGGAGCACCCATGCTCTGGGAAGGACCAAGATGAGGTTGAGTAGCACTCAGATGGGGTCAGAGAGCATCCAAACGAAGCTGGGGAGCACCCATGTCCTGAGAAACACCCAGATGGGGTTGTGTAGCATCCATGGCATGGGGAGCACCCAAATGGGGTTGGGGAGCACCAAAATGGGAACTGAGGAGCACCCATATCCCAGGGAGCACCCAGATGGGGTTGTGTAGTATCCATGGCATGTGGAGCACCCAGATGGGGTTGAGGTGTACCCACGCCCTGGTACATCTCTCTCCTGAGAGCTGGCGGCACCTCCAGCACAGAAACGCCTCTGGGTGTTGGGCAGGGATTTGAGGTGCCAGCTCTGCCCCCTCACTCCCTCGCAGCCCCCTACCCCGAGGGGCACCCTTTCAGCGCAGTGCCGCCGCAGCGCCAGGAGGAGCTGGAGCGCCTGCTGGAGAGCGGGGGTCCTGGCCGGGACTGGCGCAGCCTGGCCGCACGCCTGGGCTTCAGCCCTGAAGCCATCGGCACCTTCGGCCGGGGCCGGGCGCCCACCCGCACCCTGCTCAGCGCCTGGGCCAGCACCGAGGGCGCCACGCTGGAGACCCTGTGCCAGGCACTGGGTGCCATCGGCCGGCAGGACGCGGCGCGGTGCCTGGCGGGACCCGAGGATGCCACCTCTGCCGTGTGACCAAGGACACCGGGGCACCGACTTCTCCTGCCAGAGCTCTTTGGGGTTTTCTATGAGTGGGTTTTGTACTTTTCTAGGGGGGTTGGGGGTGGGATGGGGACAGGGAAGTGATTTGGTGGCCCCAAGATGGTGGCTGTGGGTGGTGGTGGAGGGTGGGAGGTGAGGGACGCAGCTGGTCCTTATGTGGGCACATTAAATGTGTCACTTGTGTGTCACCAGGATGGGTGTCCTCAGTGTCCGTGTGTCCCCATAAGCGCGTGTCCATGGGATGTGCCCCTTCAGGTGTTCACACGTCCCCTGGTGTCCATGTGTCCTCAAGCTTCCAATTGTCCCTGGGTGTCTGTGTGTCCCCATCAGCGCCTGTTCCCATTACATGTGTCCTCAGATGTCCATGTGTCCACAAGTGCATCTCCATGGGATGTGTTCCCTTCAGGTGTCCATGTGTGTTTTCAAGCATCCATGTGTCCCCAAGTTTGTGTGTCTCTCACAAGCACATGCCCCCGGGATGTGTCCCCTCTGGTGCCTTTGTGTACCCACAAGCATGTGTCCCCAAGCTATGTGTCCCCACCTATCTATGTGTTCCCCACACAGGTCTCACACCTGTCCCCATAAGGACAACAGGGGGGTGGGTGGCACTGGTGGGGGGGATGCCACCACCAAACACCTCAGGAGTGGCACTGGGGGACACTGTTTGACAGAAAAGAGCTATTTCAGCCCCAAAACACACATGGGCATCCCTGCCCTGAGCTGGATCACCCCAAAACCCCATCCTGTTTCTCCCCTGGGGATGCTAACGCTGCTGGGGGGGTCTAACCTACCGGTGCCACTGGTAGGTTCCTCCCCACCCCCGGCCATGCCAAACCTCTTTTGGGTCCGGGGCCGGTGTTGATTTTTTGTCATTTTTAATTTTTATTTAATTTTTTTTTCCTTTTTTTTTTTCCTTTTTTTTTTTACATAAAAAGTTTCGTAAAAATTGGATAAAGTAAAATGATTGAAGCAGTAAAATCAATCTTATCAACATAGCACGAGGCCTGCCGCAAACCCTGGGGCAGCCCCGCTCCGCACTATTTACAAGGAGAAGAGATTAAACCTCGCGGAACCAAAAGTAAAACCGAGGAACCAACCAAGAAACGAAATAAAAAGCCAAGAAGTAAGAAACCCCCAAACTATCCTTACAAAGTGTTCCCGTGGGATCGGCACATCTTGGGCTAGAAGCAGGGGGGGTGGGGGGGGGGGAAGGGAAAACAAAGGAAAAATTATCCATATATTCACATACAGGTTAAAATATAATACAGAGGTTGGTGGTGCGCCCGATGGCAGCGCCGGGGTGAGGGAGCCGGCTCGGACCCGGCAGTATGAACCACTCCCGCCGCAGGGAACCGAGTTTATTTCCTTTCTCTGATGAAAATCAAAGCGAAATCAAAGGAGGAAATGCACAGGTTGGTGTTTAATGGGGTGAATCCTGGCGGAGTTGGGGTATCCTGGGGCTCGGCGCGGCCGAGGCGGAGCTTACTCCAGGTCCGTGTCCTCTTTGGGTTTGTAGATGGCCCCGAACTTCTGCATGTATTTCTTGATGTACTCCTTCGTCTTGTGTTTCACGTTCTCGTTGCACTCCAGGTCCTCCGGGTTCTTGCAGTATTTCAGCTCCTTGTTCATGACTCCGTGAGTCAGCTGCAGGGGAGAGGAAGGCAGGGAATACACACCGCTATTCCCAATAATGCACATCCTGGGGACTCCCTAAACTATTCTGTTACCATCCCCTACATTCTGCTATTATTCCCCAACTATTCACCATTATTCCCTAATATTCGCTATTATTCCCTAAACATTTCCTATTATTGCCCAATATTCCCCATGTATTTCCTGATATTCCTCAAATATTGGCTATTAGTCCCCAGCTATTCCCCAAGTTATTTTGCTATTATTTCCCAACTATTTGCTACTTTCCCAAGTATTCCCCAAATATTTGCTATTATTGTATCTATTTCCCCAAAATATTCCCTAAATATTTCCCATTAGTCCCCATTTTTTTCCCCAAATATTCCCAATATTCCCCACATGTCCCCAGTATTGCCTAAATATTTCCTACTGTTCCCCTAATATTTTTTCGCAAATATTCCCCCAATATTCCCTAAATATTATGCAAATACCTACTATTTTCACCAAATACTCCAATATTCCTTAAGCATTTCCTATTATTCCTTAAGCATTTCCTATTAATCGCCAAATATTCCCCCCAATATTCCCTAAATATTGCCAAAATACTTGCTGTTTTCACTAAATACTCCAATATTCCCCAAGCATTTCCTATTATTCCCCAAATAGTCCCCTAATATTTCCTATTATTCCCAAATACTTGCTTACTTTCCCCACAAATATTCCCCAAATATTTCCTATTATTCCCAAAACTATTTTGTTATAATTCCCCAAATGTTACCTACTTCCCCCTCCAATATTCCCTATTATTCCCCAAACATCAGCCGATTCCCCCAACACCACTATGTTCCTTCCCTTATCCTCCCAGACGTGTGGCAGAAGGGGTGACACAGCCTCCCCAGGGATGAAGGGGCCATCCCCACGTGTCCCCACCTTGCGTGCCAGATGTTTGAAGTCCTCGGTGGTGGTGATGCGCCCCACCTTGCAGTCGGGTTTGCGGTACGGGTTCAGGCACTGCACGATGAACTGCGACATCTGCGCCAGAGGAGAACAGGATCTGGCCCTGACCGCGCTCACCAGCCCCAGGGCAAAGTGGCCCCGAGGACCCAGTGACCCCCTGGATGGTGACAGACACCCCCCCCCCAGCACTGGGGACACTCACTTCTTTCCTGAACACCTCCTTGCTCTTCTTGGCCAGCTCGCTTGATGTGTCCGCTTCCGCTGTCTTGGGCTTCTTGGAAGACTAGAATGGAGGGAAGGAAGAAGAGGATGCTCGATTCTGCCCGGAGCGAGCCAGGATCATCCATCCCTGTCCCCACTTTGAGCACAGTAATCCTCCTGCCCAACCCTGCCCCACAGACAGGCAGGCAGCTCACACTTCCCTGCCTTGTCCCAGTGAACTTCCCGCCCAGTGCCAACACGCACCGGTCCTGGTCCTGGTAGACTTCCCAGCCCGGTCCCAGCATGCTTTCCAGCAGCACTCTCTTTAGCCTAATCCAGGCACCCTTCCAAGCCTGGTCCCGGTGAGCTTCCCCTCCCACTGCCGGCATGCTTTCCACCCCAGTCCTAGCACACTTCCAAGTCCATTCCCAACAAAATTCCCAGCCCAGTCCCAGTGAGCTTCCCAGCCCAATGCTCACATGCTCTCCAGCCCAATCCAGGCACACTTCCCAACCTGCCCCTGGTAAGCTTCCCAGCCAAGTCCCAGTGTTCTTCCCTACCCAGTCCTGACATGCTTCCCAACTCAGTGCCAGTGTACTTCCTGGCCGGATGCTGGCATGCTCCTTACCTCAATCCAGGCATGGTTCCCAGCCTGCTCCCCATGAGCTTCCCAGCCCAGTGGCGGTGTACTCCCCACCCTGATCCTGGCATGCTTCCTAGCCCAGTGCTCCAGCCCAGTACCAGCACACTTCCCAGCCTGATCCTGGGACGCTCTCCGGCCCGGTGCCAGCACACCCAGGGCACTCCCCAGCCCAGTCCCAGCGCGCTTCCCAGCGTGCTCCAGCCACACTGCTGGGCTGGGAGCACAACCCCCTGGGAGATGCAGGGCCCACTCCTCGCCCTTGTTTTCTTTGGGGAAAAAAAGCTTGAAAAAGGGTGTGAGCTGGTCCTGGGGAGCAGGGCTGTTCTGGAGGGGGTGGGGGGAGTGGCAGCCCTACTGTGGGGGGAATTATCTTTACCTGGAGATAAGGGGGAAACATAGGCTGTCCCCTCCCCATTCATCTCCAAATTACCAGCACAACAATCATTTGCAGGGATGGATCCAGCCCAGCTGCACACCCAGGTGAGGGGAACACTGCCCTAACCCCCCTCTGTGGGCTGATGGAGCAACATGTATTCATTCCATTAACCAAGGCCATGGCTCCAGCAGAACTGGCGCGGGCACGCAAGCACACCAGTGGAACCTCGTGCTGAAAGCACTGCAATGGTTGGGACTCTGCCAGCGAGGATTTACAGTGGATTTTAGAATCATGGAATGGTTTGTGTTGGAAGGGATGTTCAGAAGTCATCTAGTCCAACCCTCCTGCAGTGACAACTGGATCAGTAACCTAGAGGCACATCCAGTCTGGCTTTGAACATCTCCAGGGATGGTGTATCTACCACCTCTCCTTAGCTACAGACGATCATGGAAGGATAAAGGTGAATTTTACAGGGATTTCTGACTGTTCCTCTAAGTACTAATCCCACAGAGCACAAACATGGCTGGCTTAATTTGCTGCCTGCGTTAACGGAGTGGAAATTGCAGCGGCTGCACCCCAGCGAGCATCCACTCATGCCAGCCCTGTGGGCTTTGTCTTCCAGCCCTGCGACCTTCTCAGCTTCTAAGAAACTGGAAAGCAGGATCTCTCCTCTGGCGCTGTTTTTCAGGAGAGGTTTGTGTACGGCAGGTTATCCTGACTTGGATTTTAAAGATGGAGACAGCAAACCAGCTTGTTAAAGGCTTGAAAAGCTGGGGGAGATTTGCTCTTTGGAGGTGGCTTTTAACTAAAAAACACCATTTTTTAAAGTACTTAACACTGAAAAAAGCAGGATCCAGCCATCTCACCCCTTTCAAATCCCAAAGACATGCCTGGCTGAGGCTGGAGGGCAGAGCTGCAGAATCCCGTGAGCAAACCACTGTGGGGTTTAAATCAACCCTTGACAGGGAGGTTTTACTGCCCAGGGCTGTCCTGAGCAAGCGATGGTGTGTCTCTGGGCTGGCTGCACATCAAAGCTCCTCGCTGCCCCGGGCTCAGGCAGCAACATCAAAAGGCCAGTGATAGGGAGCAGATGGCTCCCTGCTGGCTCCCAGCATGGCACCGGCTCCGGCGCTAGCACAGTGGCGGCATCATCAAGCCCTGCCACCTTCCATCACCAAGACCTTCACCATCCCCGGGACCTTCTCCATCACCAGGCCCTTCTGCATCTCCCCAGCATCTCCAGCACACCCCAGTTTCTCTTAATTCCCCTAAGACAGCACAAAGGAGGAGTGATTTTCTATGCGGGGGTTAGTTTGGTAATAGTGAGACTGAGATTATCAAAGGACTTCAGCCTCTGTGGACATGACCACAGTGCCTCCCCTATA